ACGGGTACGGGTCCAAAAAAATACCAGTGAGAGTTTGCGATAACTTAACACAAATGTCTGGACGATAAATGCCTCTAAGTATGTCATAACCAGACGCCAATGAAATTGCACAAATTCGCGCAACGCGTAAGAGTTCCCACAGAATTTGTTCACATAGGGGCGAGTAAACGGCTGGTTGACGAACACAGTACAGAGGAGAGTATGCACATTTTGATCTGCAGAAAAGAGGAGTTAATGCATGTCGAGGACAATCATCACTTCTGAAACAAAAGGCTGACAGCGAGCGATTCTGTTCTGACCTAAAAGTTCGTCTTTCACGAGTGATCCTCAGGCCAAAACTCAACAGAAGACCACACCCTCTCAGTATTTTGCAGTTAAGCTGTCAGCCTTCGTTGTTTCGGGATGTTGCAATCAAGATCATAGTTTGAAGTAATCAAACAGGATTCAAACGCTTCTCAGTGATTTGATTCAGTCTGGACTCAAGAGGCTGATACACCGTCAAGTTAATCGCTTGACTGGCCAACTGAAATTCAGCCTTAGATTGATCTACTTCGAATAGGCTTAGGGTTGGTGTCAGGGCCAGTAATTTGGTCGAGATGCATTTGAATGTGGTCAGGAATAAAGAAGCTTTACTAGAATGCATCATATATTGTATGACTGAACGAGTTGACGAATAATGGCTCTGATAGTACAAGACGGCGACGGTGCCAAGTGCTAACTTTCTAGTTCTCCTAGCAAACTTCTTCTTGCGGGTTCTAACCTTAACCCACTTGCCTCCACATTCTACCGAATTTAACACGTTTAGGTTCGTCAGATAGCTACTCGACAAACTGAGTCGGAAACACCACGTGGGTCGCTTTATTACGAGTGCGACTGTGAATCATTGTGACATTCAACAGACCCGTAAACCTATATTGATGCTTTCAGAGTGATTACTAGAGGAGAAACGATTATCATTTTCGTGACCATTGCTTACCCACGAGCTTGATCTACCCGAGAGATCAGGTAGTCGTCGGTTCGTTCACTGAGCTGCGCACTTTAGTGGCAAAGAAGTTCTCTACAATCGGGATCATCGTCAGAAAAACACTAACAGTACGGGTGCCTAGACCATCCGGAAAGGATTCCTAATAAAAAATGAACTTGACAGAGAAGGGTCTAGACTTGTTACAAACAGTCTTATTTCTCTATGGAGAACGATCAGGAATAAATTGCCTACACATTGGAACAGCAGCAGTGAATGCATCCGAACATCATATCGGAGCAGACCATCATCAGTGGAATCGCCCAACCGTTCTTTACGAGCCTCATCCGAAAAAGAGCCAAGGACACAACGACAGGCGAACTTTGGCTAGGTAATCCGAATAGGAAGTGGCAATATGCTCGTCCCTGGGATAGGTTACGTGCCACGTCCTGTAGAATCACCAACCATATACAAGCATTGCGGGGACCCAAACTAGGAAAGGACGAAGGTCCCACAGCAGTTTGAAAGTAGCCGCCTTCGTCCCGCGCTGCCAATTCATTGCCTTGCTCCCACGGACCTTTTCCCAGAAAGAGTTTGCGGCTGAAAACAGTACTTCTTTCGGCAGGCGTTAGATGGGCAGGGGTAGTACCTGGTGAGTTTTAATGCCCTACAATTATTCCGATTCACTACCACCAAATCACCGCAAACACGCAACAGTTAAGTAACGCTTGCCACCAGTAATCAGATGTTTGAATCTGTCTAGTGCTCTCGGATCACAACCATCTGTAGCTGCTTTTTCAGTTGTTTTGTACAAGCGGTCCTTTTGCTTCGAAAAATTCACTTCTTGCACCAAAAACGACACAAATTAGGAAATGTTTCCGCTTCTGATAATGGCCCGATACGGTACAGGCTGAAACAGCCGCCCAGACAAATGAACCGATTATCAACTCAAGCTCCTCCCCTTTCAGTTTCAGGTAGACGGAGGACTCAAAATTCCGAAGCAATACTTTAAACTTGAGAAGTGCAAAGCGCACATCGAAAGCAGGGATCACAAGACCAATTTCAACAAAAGCAGATTGTGCGAACCGATGGTCTCCAAGTAAGAAAATAATATCGTCCGGCTCGTTCACGTCTTCTAGTCTTTCTCTGGATGTGTGTAGTCCCTGACAATATCAACGACAAAAATGAACAGAGGAAGAGGGCAGTCTTGGCGACCTGGACATCATCATCATCATTGACAGCATGACATCAATGTTCAACGCCGATGCTTTACTGCCGTAAAAATCGTTCAGTTGTAGCACGCTTTCGGTGCCTAGCTGCCGCGCCATCCAAAGGAAGCACGAGGGCTGGGATACTGCGCTCTAACCACTTGGTCCACCTCCCGCATGGACGGTACTTCCTAGACTCTTACATGGGCATAAGTGCGGGGATAGAAGGCGAGATATTGGAATATTGACATCTTAGGCACATTCATCGGTAGTAGATCAGGTGGCTGTTGATCTGTTCGCCAAGCTTTGCAAAAAACTTACAAACGTTTCTATATAAAATAACAGCAGTCCGGGTCCGTTCCATGTCAGGTCACATAACGGGCATCAGTACTTTTTTAATAAGGGAAGGTTGCGTACCAAAATCGAATCACTCAATTCAGTTTCAAGTTATTAGCTATTAGCCGAGTACCATGCGTACATTGGCTCGGGAAAGCGGAACAGCGTGGAACACAGTCAAGGATTGGAGGCGATGGCATGTTCAGTTAATTCGAGAATCGGGTAGCTACGCACTGAAGGCGATAACTTTGGCACATGATCGCCATTGACTCAACGATATCGTGTTCACTTGGTCGAATCGGATAGCCTGAGCAGACAGTTCTGAAAGCTGACAGCATAGCCTCTTTAACTCGCTTCCACTCAACCTCCAAGCAATGATTGTCATCCACGTATCGCAACGTCGTCCAGAGATAAATTCGCGGACCGTTGAGCAAAACCACTCTAAAACTACTGCGAGCGGCATTCAGTAGATTTTGATGACCAGACATATCATAGGACCTTACAAATTTGCACCTCTCTCTTGCCCTTGCTGTTTGGCAGTTAGTAAACAATTAGCAAATTCATTGGAAGTGAAATAAATTGATGGACAGGACATGGAGTGACTTAGTGTAAAATGTCATCGAACCTTTGTAATGTACTACTCGTAAGGTTGCTGAAAATGCGTCGGCAGCTCACGACCGGTTTCGCCCTTTTTGGGGCTCATCAGGTAGGTGTAATCCCTGAATTTCCGTCAACCTTATGTTCTACTTGAAACCAAATTGCACGAAATTAGCGAATATACACTCATCTGCAAACTAATCTGGTTCTTTCGAGAGACTCACCTGTAACCCAGCTGAATCTCTTGTTTGTGATGTTCTTAGGCAACTGAATGTGCTGCACCAGGCCGCCTCATATTTCAGTCGCTATGATATTCGAGATATCGCGATACATGTATATCTTTGTAATGTACTACTCATGGGGTGGCAGGTGAGTCGAAAAACCAAATTAGTTTGCAAATGAGTGTATATTCGTCATCCGACCTTCTTATGACAGACAATTTCGCGAAATATTTGCAGACCAACTGTTATATTTACATCCCGCAAACTGCATGCTTTAACGCACTGGGACCCCTGGGTGTGCAAAATCCCTACTCACAGAAAGGGTGGTGCGTAAATCTAGTCCAGCAACAGAGAGATGAATGACTGATGGTAGGATGAAGTCTTTCATCAACATTGCAATACGGACCGTAGATACTAGCTTACAGTTCTTTCACCTTTCGCTGCACTGGCCTTTCGACACTGCAATTTCTGCACGACATCTTCACCTCCCAGGGAGGGTCAGTGGTGTGTAGTTGAGCAATGGTTCAGGGATTAATGACGGTTACTGAGTTGTGAATATCCAAAACACAGCTGTAAAAGCACTCAACAATACCGAGTAGTGTGTGATACGATTAATCATATGCCAACAACCCCGTTACCTGAACAATGAAACCTCGTTGCTGCTGTGTTGGAGGCTGGCACCTGCGTAGTCAATTTATTTTTGCCAGAGAGCGGGACGCGCTCTTCTTGGAAGCACCCATGTTGCCGAGGACCCAATAGCTTACGATCGGAAGACCATACTCTCTTCTGAGGTCCTCTCTTGAAAGGGAAGTTATTAAAAGTGTATGAAGTTCCCACAACCACTCAAACGGCATTATTAGTAAGCTCTCCAACGCATATTCATGGATCACTGTTGAGGATGGGCTTTAATTCGATGACCCACTCTACCAGCTAACGCCCGACTACTCAGTGCAATGGGTTCACGAAACCCCTAAAAAAAAGTATGATCGTGTTATGCTTGCTGTCCTCTAAACTGGAATTGTTCAGCCAGAGAATTTACGAGGTTCAACACGAGGTAGGATCCCTTGAGAACTGCGTTCATCTATCTGTTGCACCCATTGAGGCGACTTTGTAGCGGTGCGCCTGCTGGTCCTTTCTGGCTGGATGAGGGATATGGACCAAAAAGTGCTATTTTTAATATTCCCACTTTCCATTCCCCAAGGTAGCAATGGTGGTATCCTGAGGATGAGAAAATGCAGTTCCCAAACAATGGTCGCCAGGACTTTCTGTCGAATCTCCAAGGGAAGTACCCCAGCCATCTTCTTATCTGGGTTTTTACACTCATGTAGTTAATGCGTAGCGTCAATCACATTCGCTACTAGTGGCAGAACCAGCTAAATGCACTAGACTAGTCATGATTGTTCAGAACCCTTTATTAATTCTTGGTGCACGATCGTGGACGGATAAGAATCTTAAGCTTTCGGTAATCATAAATCGATTAGCATGACTGAAAAGGAAGGTAATTACGCTTCGCTAGTCACTTCCAGTGATTGGACTGCAAGCAAACACGCCACACAAACAGATACAAATTTTGTCTAGGCTGATACACATGAACAGGGTATGTTTTGTCTGAGGTATTACGATCTCAGCTCCGAGCATTAATCAAGAAATACAATATATAGAAAATAATGTGGTGTATTCTGTTCCAAAGGTACCGATTCAGATGAAAGAGAGAGAGAGGGAGGCATCATGCAGGGAACGTCCGATCCTCTACCGGCCGCTCGGCTACCGCCTGTAGGAAGACACGACGAACAGAGAGGTTTTCCGATACGTTTGTCGTGTGTTTGTACACATATTCACATCGCACGGTGCGAAATCCCGCCTCACCAAATAGGGCTTCTAACTCGGACTTTTCGAAAAAGTAAGACAAAGTTCCATCTTGTCTGGCATAGGAAGGACGTTCACGTGAGAGTCGAGTGCCGCGACCGAACCTTAACTGGGCATGGTCATGGATTCCGTAGTCGCGGAATAACAGGCGCCCTCCGGGTTTCAGCACACTGATGAAGGGAAATAAATGGAGCCAGATTGGTTACACATCTGAATTCGGCATAGGAGGCGACAATGATGGCAAGAAAATGGTGAAGATGGTGTCGAAAACAGACTCAAAGCATTCTAATTAAGGTGACTGACTGATAGTAGTGAATATCACCGATAGCAAAATATTCCTCACACCGGCGAAGGAAGCTGTGCAGCAAGTACCATGGACCAAGGTTGTATTAACTCTTCAAATGATCTAAGCGAGATCACGATGATCGGTCACAAACCACACTGGATACACGACTACTGCCGAATAAAACACGAGGAAGCTCGACGGGGTGATGGGTTTGTTTGTCAGAGTTACACACACGAGATAACGAAGTTAAGGTATCAAACAGATCCGAGAGGAGAAAGGACGGACTCAAGTTCATATAGCCAGAAAACAGTGGACATCCTCAGCTTGCAGTTTCTAGGTTTTTGAGCCATATAGCAATATGGAGCGCACGAACAGCACTTGAAGTTGACCACTGACGCCTGCACCATAGATGATGCAATTTGACACAAGCTGCTCTGGTTTTTCCGACCCGGATAGAAATATTGTCTTTAGCTATACCACCGAGGGTGATGACTAGCTGGGTAGAGAAATTTCACTAGTACCTAAATCGTCATCATCGACAGCATGACATCGGTGTTGAACACTGGTGTTTTGCTGCCTTACAACCATGCTTTATTTTACAGCTTTATTGTGAAGAAAACAATAAAGGTGTATGGGGAAGGGATTTAGTGCTAGCTTACTACAATCATCCCTCCAGACACTGATTCAGGCGATCTGGACAGAAACTGACAACAAAGAAGCAATTGACAATGATTAGCAGACATACCTTGCAGCGGCTCGCAGTTCCTATCCCGGAAGGCGAGCAGCACCGATAGCACTCAATCCCCTCGCTATCTTTTTCATACACCTGTACCAGGTCGAGGATTGACCACCTCTCTGAATTGGACAGTAATAAAACTCTACGGCAAAGGATGGTTCGACGTGTGCAATACATGGCCTAACCAACGCAGCTTCTAGTGCTGGACAAACTCTTCAACGAAAATCCCCGTTGCACAACCAAAAACTTGCCTTCTAATTGTCTCGTTGCGGACTCTCTGATACAAACCTACACAAACTATGGTCCTGAGAAAACGATTATCGAACACCTGAAGATCTCTCAGTTTCGCTGCTCGGAAAGGTCAAGTTTCACATCCATACAACAAAGGCTGTAGATTGATACACATATTCCTTGAGATTCAGGGATATACCGCTTTGACGCCATAGACGTCTAAAATTAGCGAGCCTCAAACCAGAGCCTTTCAGATTCGTGCAGTGACCTCACCTTTCCCACAACAATCAAAACTAGTACAACTTCCAACGTATGTGAAACACTCCACAACTTCGAGTGCCTTTCCCCGGATTGCAGGTGGCGTGCTTAGTGATTGCATGTCCACGAGCATGATCTTACAATTTGTGGGTGCAAAGCGCACAAAAAGGCTGAGGTGACTTCGGTCAATTCACCCAAAAACACCTGCGCCTCTTCCTCTTCGAAGACGAGAATGATGTCGTCTGCATACTCCAGACAGTTAAGGTTTACGCCACAAGCTATTTGAAAAGCGGAATTTTGAAGAACTTCAAGCGTTTGTCTCGCTATTTATTCGATCACAAAGCTGAAAAAGAATGGAGAGAGTGGGCGTCCCTGACGGACACCGCTTTGTGTACGAAAGCTTTCGGAGAGCTCTCCGTAAACTCTCACACGTCCGGGGGCCTGAGAATACAAAGGACGTACTATGTTCATAAACTTATGGGGCATTCCTTGGTGGGAAAGTGTGCCAAGAACAACAGACCATTCAACCGAGTTGAATGCGCGTTGGAAATCCAGGAATACTAAAATTATGGGTCTTTTGTACGTATGGCGTTGTTGTTCTGCTACCCCTACCAGGCCAGAATCCTGCTTGCTGCCCTCGAGTCAGTGTTTCACGAGCCACCATATGGCGAGGAAACACAACGATGTCTTAATGACCGGGGTCAAGCTGACCCCCCGGTGGTTATCACACTCACTACGAGCCCCTTGTTTGAAAATGAACACTATCACCGACTCTTCCCAGTTGTCTGGGACATCTCTTTTCCCAAATGCAGACAGTCAGACAAGCGCTGACTGAGGATTTCACTCACGTCTTTGTACAATGCGGGTGGGAGGTCCCCCTGACCAGCGTTGGTTTACTATAGAGATTAGTTGAGCTAGCTCACTGTTGAGCTATGATATTTCTACGAAGATGGTGGATGGACATGCCTCGCGCTCGTAATACGGTATTATCGCAACACGTTGTGAGCTCAGAAGAAACGCCAGTCTTGGATTATAACTCTCCGTCGGTGGCGGATAGCCAGGCGACCCCGACTGGGTTCACGGTTGAACTGCACTTGGCGGCAACGCGATGATTCGGTGACCAGAAACGATTAATGGTCAGCAAACAACTGGAGGAGTCACTTCCTTGTGCGCTTAGCAACAACTCCGATACGATTTTAAAGAGCACAGGTGACTGACTTGGGCGTTCATATTGCTTGACGAATGAGAAATGAATGACAAGCTGAAGATGCTCTCTCACATAATGACAAAACGTCTGCAAGTCTGTTGCAATTTCGGCGATCAGGTCGACTGCCACCTGAGCAACAGTAAAAAGAGAGTTGAGTTCGTCCTGGACACTTTATGATGCAATATCACGCTTGAGTATTGTATGCGCGTTTCGGAGAAAGTGCATCAACTTTAATGGAATATAAGGTCTGAACATTGCATTGCTTGTTTACCTGTTTGACACAGAGTACGGATGCTGACAGCTTCTAAGTAGAAAGGGTCTCGTGGATTTAACAGTGTTATTTTGTTTATTGTTGATGGGCCGTGGGATGGACGACGCATATAGGTTAGATACTGACAATCAAATGATCCAGAGACGTTCACTTGCGCGGTAGCAAGGGACCGATGGATCCGTGCGGGAAAATGATACCGCCTGGTTATCCAGGCCGAAAAAGGTGAGTCTGAGGTAGTCCACTCTGAAAGTTCGACCCAAAAGTCTGACCAGCAAATAGAAAGAGGAAGGTTGTGTTCGAAGAATCTATCCCTGTTCCCTGGTTCACGTTTGGCCAGTGAGGTGGTGGGTAGTAGGGTTTCCCTAGAGGACCCTGCTCGGGCAGGGGGCGCAGAGGATATGGCATGTCTCACTCCGGAAGCGCAAAACAAATCGTGGACTGTCAGACAGTCTTCAGTAATCTCGTAAGTAGTTTCCTTTATGGAAATATACTGCGATATCTCGATTATCGTACCACCTGAAAAATGAGGCGGCCTGATGTAGCACATTCAGTTGAAGAACACCCTAAACGGGGGACTCAGGTTGGTCTCGCGTAAAAACCAAATTGATATGTAAATGAGTGAACTGTCTAATTTCGTGCAATTTGGGTTCCGGTGGTGTTTAAGGTTGACCGAAATTCTGGGGCTGTGTCCACCTGATGAGTCCCAAGAAAAGCGAAACCAGTCGTGGAATGTCGACGAATTTTGAGAAACCCCATTACTAGTTTCCTTTCTGAAGAGATGTATGTGGTGTTCGAACATTTCCTGCCCACTTACTAACGTCGATCAGTCATCATCATCACCATTGCCAACGTGCCTTCATTTGAAACAATAGCATATATATGTGATTTCCTATTCCACCCGCTAAATGTAAAGAGCTGCTGTTGCATGACCCAAATGCTCATAGGCCGGGCTCACAGCGAAAAAGGAAAATGGCGGCTACGGAAGGTTCCGCTCCGTTCTTCAAGGGGTACATTATTCAATTCGGTTGCCCAACGAACTCAGGACCAAAAAAAACAAGTTAATGCGATGGAAGAACAGAAATATACCTGCATTACAAATCGATTGTGGTTACGGATGGACGGAGAGCATAGAGGGTTCAATTAACGGAAGATCAGTAACTCACCCTAATTAGTTGTACAAGCGAGTTAATTAACACATACGGCTAATTTACTGATAGTTAACCGCAGCAAGCAAGAAAAATAGATGCACACGTTCTTACTTGTGCCACGTTATAGTATGCCTTCAGTAAGGGGGTGTCAATGGTGAGGGTGAGTCTGTTCTAGTAAAGAAAACGATGAAAAAGAGGATGATTCAAGAGTCAGTGTCTCTGATGATATAAATCGCTGTCGAGTGACTCAAGAACGATTGACGAAGGAACTCAGAGGTAACGGTGGTGACAGCTCGGCGCTCCTCACCAAAGGAAAGCTAAATTGTGTATTCTGTCCCACAAGACACGCCTGAGATTCAGCAGACTCTATTCAACTGTTTCGTGCCTCCTGTCAACATCCTTCACTTTCAAACAGATGAAGAGATGCAAGATCGACATCCTTTCCCTCATCTTCTTAAAGACAATGCGCTCACAACTGACCTCGATGACCAGGTAGATTATCAACGAATAATCCGGCACAATGGCGTTCCAAAGAAATACTGATTACCATCGTTTATCCGCCACCTTTTAGTAGCGAAACAGTAACAATATTGTGCAGAGTTTGGACAGCTCACGTGTGGGGTCGAGAGGGAGAGAAAAGGCAGTGGAACACAAACTTTGAGCCAAACGGAGTAATCAAAACGGAGGCTATTTCTCACTACGTAGATGCAGAAATAAAGGAAAACCAACCTTCTTATGTTCTTCAAGCATGTGACCATATCATCTGGATTTAGAGCAGAAAGGACGAAGATCAAAGTGACCAGGTCAAGTGATGAGACCGTATGATTAGCTGAGGTTTGGTGTTGATACAGCTGTTCCTTCAAGGCTCCGTCCTTACTGATGTCACACACAAAAGCGGTACAGTCCAAGCAAGAACGAGAAGCGCGGTCTTTGAACATTTGCACGGCGCGTTGGGAGATATCACAGGCGTACACACTGGATGCTTAAAAAGGGAACGAAAATCGGGAGCCATACAAAATCACTGGCATAGCTGGGACGTGCACAGGCAAGGGAAGACATTGTTGCACTTTTATACAGAGACCAAGCAGGATTCTCATACGTCACTGGATGTGAAGACGAAACTGTAGTCCGACAACCATTTACCAAAAGAATATCGGTGATTAGTACTGCAGAACTATTTGTGCTCAGAGCAAATTAGATTTAGGACTACCGTTCCTGACACTCACAGAGGTACAGTGGTCACTGATCACTTCATTGTTCTCGAAACAATGAAAACAAAACGCTGTTGATCGGCTTCGAAAAGCTGACCTCCCGGTCAGAAGCCCGCGACTTAATCCCTTAAGCCATCTTGAGCTGCTTTTCATTAGTTTGACACAGTTAGAGCCTGATTCCGTCTATCGCCAATCACGCCATACGTGTATCATTTGGGGGATATCTCCCGCTGAAATCCGGTAAGCACCAACGTCGGACACATGGGGAATTATTAGGGTCCACTACTCCAAGCCCATAGGTTGGATGGCCAGTTTTCTGTTCAAACAACAACAGGGCAACAACAAGCAATGAACAGATTAAACCACCACGTGGCTCGCGACAACGAGCTCTGCTTTTTTGAACGTCATAGAAAAAGTAAGGAATGGATACAAATGAGACACAAGGTATACTGACCAGTCGTCAAACGATTCAGACAACGGGAGGGCTGATTGGAATCGGATGATGAACAAGAACCGTTGGCAGATGAGACTAAATCCTCTAGCAGGGGGAGCAGAAAATTCCCAACCCCGCAACCGACTTCCAGAATGGACAAAGGAGTTGCGGATTCTGAGCGTTCATGATTCTGTTCAAGATCCGCACGCAGCAAGAGTAACTCCGTGAATTCGCGCGTGGTCCAGTGACGATCCTGCAGGAGCGAAATATTAGAAGGATAAAAAACCAAAAAAAGCAATCAATTAAAGGTTAAATCCACTAGAAACAGACTGGGGAGAGGGGTGAAGAGCGTAATGGGAACTGGATGGTATACCAGTCAACCGCCAAGGAAGCATAATCGTACCCAACTATCGTCCTGTCATCAGCTTTGCTAACCTAATGAAGGGCCAAATAACAAACAAAAATAAACATAGTTCGAAGAAATTGAGGGCCCCGCCTCTGATGGGACAATTTACGTGAGCGATACAAATAATCAGAAATAATGAAAATTCGAGAGGATAGCGAACGAGTGCCTCATTTCCTAACCAGAGTATCACCAGTCCACTCTTACTTTTTATTCGCACACACTCTATCTATCTATCTATCTATCAAAAACCAACAGACAGCATGACCTACACGAATACTTTTCGGACAAGCCCGATAGGTCCCAAAGCCCAAGATTTACGATTGTTCGAGCGAACTAATGGTGTCAGGACAGAGACGATGCATGCGAGGTTACCTCACTGCTGAACGGGCTACTTTTGTGCTAGCATTTTGTTACTTATGAGTAGTTAAATTATTCTGCGCAAAATGATACGCTTAGCCCTCAGTGGAAAGAGATCGCTCCGGAAAATGACTGTCAGAGGTCCACATCAGCAGAATCAGTTTCAGCTAGCACCATCTCAAAGGCTGAGGACATCTCCACAAGGTCAAACTGTGACAGTGGTTCCCAAAACTCAGGGTCGCAGAGATAGTCTTAAAGGTGGCCCGAGTCCCTGTTTATTCTAAATCATTTTTACAAAGACAAACAGGTACACAAAGCGTCGTAAAAATTCCACCAACTGGGTTTTGTGACTGGTTCGCATTTGAAAGAATATATCGGCACAATTGCATGAAACACCTAGGTCAGTAAGCGAAATTTTGAGGTAAATAAAACGTAGAACTCTCAAAATTTGCTGGAAGGAGATGGAATGAATCATTTCCATAAGTAATAAAATGACGTTCATCGCACCTTCATGTGCAATAGAAACAAGCAACCGTTACATTGCATAAAGCCAAGAAAAAAAGTAATAAGTACATAAGACAGTTCAAACCAGCTCCAGATGGTGCGGCAAGATCGTATAATACATCACTGAATTCACTGTATCCGAAAGGAAGTGGCGGTTATAGTGACAAAATATAAAACGATAGTCCAAATGATAACATAAAACGAACATTCGAAAGGTAAGTAGGCACAAGCAATTTCTAGCGAGTCGGTGGATTGTCAGGGAAGTTGAACCAGATCCACGAAACTTCTCATACATGGGGATATAGTGGGTGCGTTGACATGTCATGTTCATTCTCACCATCATCATAGGCAGCCATAAACTACCACTAATTGCCGGTGTTCAATTGTCATACAGGGTAACCTTTAGGACGGTAGGCCTGTCAGGTTCTAATTTGGTATCAGCAGCAGCAGAGACAGCGAAATCAGTGTGACTCTGATGGTCCACTGCTGTACAAGCATAGAGTTTATTCAATTATATTTAAAGTCTTCAGGTAAAAAAGAGAAGAGTGGACGACTGGAGTATTCACTGTTACCCTATTACAAGCGTTCTGAGGTGCCTACAACTCTAAACGCTCGATTGGACCATCTGGGAATAAACTGACAGCAAGAACGCTCTTGACATCGATTAGCCGCCATTTCTTGCAACGTTTCCAACCGAGGGTGAGGGGGGCGAGAGACCTCATCTTGGAAGGTGGATCGCACAAACACCCAGACTTTCCGTAATCTTTTCCACACTTTTCTGTCAAATAACACGTTTTCCACCTCGCACGCTGCGCCATTCTGAAGGAGCCATGGTGAGCAATACTTGCGTCAGTAAACTGCGGGTGCAGCACCTGACCGAGCCACTGCTTTTGATGGTCCTGGATGCATACGTGTTACACAACAAAATAACTGTTTTTAAATAAAGTCGTTACGAATTCGTCGACGCTATCCGACAACGGTAACGTTGCTGAGACATCCGTATGTGAAAACTTGAAGACAACTTACAATATCTGCCCGCAGAGGTCGCACCTCGCAACCATACAATGACACAGTGCTACTGTAACATGGCTCACAAGAAACCCAGTGATATGCCTTTTCGATGCTACAGAAATTGGCAAACATGGTTCGGAACTTTGAGAATCCAACACTGTTTCCATCAAACACACAACCTTTAGGGTTAATAAGACCACCAAGGTATGTGCACTATGCAGGTGCACACACATGTCGAGAGATGGTATGATGGTTGTCAGTTTATTCAATAGAACTTATGCTTGTCTTCGAAGGGGAGGACGATGTCGTCCACCTACTACAGATCGACCACCATCGATGATTTGTACAACGGGGTTTTGGACCTTTCAGTGTTCGTTTCAGTATTTCACTGAGGACAAATCTAAACGCAAAGGATTGGATATTCTTGCCGGAAACTTTTAGGGAGGCTATCAGAGAAAACCATGCACTTCCAAGGGCCGGGAATTAAGTGAATGCAGGAGGCAGATTATGATAACCTTTTAAGGCATATCTGACTAAGCAAGAGTACGTAGAGGCACTGACCGACCGACAGAATCGCACCCACCCTTGAATTCAAAGAACGTCAAGATTTCTGGTCGTCCGTGCACTTGATGGAGAGTAATGGTACTTCAGTCAAAAACGCCCCCAGTAGCAGCACAATTATCAGAGTAGTAAGCAAACAGTAAAGTTTAACCATTTTGCCACTCAAAATAGAATGATTTAGAAGCGGTAAACTCAGTAGAATTTAGTGGCTTTAATAATAATAATTATTACTGTTACCCATTTATTTGACGAATCTATATGTATACTCCACTATTCCAGAAGCTGGTATCGCAAAGGAGTAGTCTGTGATCAGTGCACATTTGTGGTAGGCATTCCCCGCTGTCCGTGTGTTTCGTGTTCAACCCAAGAAGATAACCCAATTTGGCCTCAGCAGCGCTAAGTCTAACTAAATTAGCGTCCACGTCACCAGGGACCACAACAATGTCTAAGCCTCCAACCCGTTGAAAAAGAGCATCTGGAGCACAATAGGACTGCCTTCGGCATATTCGGTCACACACAAATTGCCACACAAATTGCACACAGACGAACATCAACGGATATTCCATCAAGTGGAGCCATCTGTTCACGACGACTCAACACAATACCCATCCCCGCACACCCAGCTGCAGGAGCCTCCAGGTAACTAGAGATACGGAAGAGATTTAGGGATTCTTGTTTCTGAAGGACGGCGTATATCTATCCAAATAGAACCCAGCGTAGGAGTAAGTCAGATCAGTAATGCTGGTTTTCAGACAAACCAGCTGGTCACACTCCATAGGTTAAGCTGTTTAGGCCACGTGCTTCCTATGTCAGAGGACCACTTGCCTCGCAGGGACCTCTTGGTTCACTGATGTATCGGATGGAGATGACTCAGAGGTAAAAAAAATATGAAAGCTCTTAGCAGTCAACTCAATCGCGTTGGTAACTGTTTCCTACCAGGATGGGGACCCCTGCATGATCAGTGGCACTGACAGATATGGCCATGTCCCGCAGCACCAAAGATATCGCCTTCACTACGGAGCCATTTCAGGCTTAACCATGCCAGAAAAACATAACCAACCAGCATCAATGAACTGGCTGCGCCATCGACTCGCACGAGTAGCTTCTATTCCCTTAGTCTTTCTATCATGTGCGGATGTAGCTATAACAACTGGAATCGACGTACTTCGGTATAGTTTGAAGCTAAAAAAACTAAAGTGACCGATTTGCTCACCTGGACTAAAGCTGACTTTTTACGGTACTTGTCCCACCTTGGTAACCAGGCAAGCTCACACATGCCTGTATTGTGAAGTGCTGTATTAGGTAGCAAGGGAACAGATACTACCTAACAGTTAGTGGTGGCATTGCCACATACATTATGTGACATAATATTTACGTTCATGACTAGCTGCTCCCAACCGTTTGTGCCACATGTACTAACAGCGACTTATGCTCTGATACATGATTGTTTAGCTGTTGGCATACCAGCTGGCGTTTGATTATTGTCCAACACTCCCGTTTTCCGGTGATCGAAACTGTAACAGTTGGAACCAGCGTGTCTATGGTACATGGATTCTAGCTGATGAACTGGTTGATTGATTAAGAGGACAACAGGGGTGGTAATTACTAGTAAGGATTACAGTAACATACATGAGGTGATGTTTGAACACTAAAAGCACGTATCTTTACCCGTAAAATTTTCAGTGACAACGAGCCTAAGAAGAATCATAGGTAAAAGTAAACCAGTTGACTGTGTGAAATGAGAAGAAGCAAAGTATGGTACTGATGAATATTCCCTCGCCATAATCCCAGCCCTACATGCAATCGGTTGTGATGTCGACTTTTTGGTTCACCAACCTATGACCATCTCTTATCGAGGGATCTGCTTTCCTCAATCCGCTAAGGCTTTTATTGGACTGGGATTTCCTAAGGTCGCAGTCAGTGACTTGTGTTTGCTTGCCATTGTGGGCTCTCTGTGTACTTATGACACTTTTATGCGTGGCACATGGCATTTTTTACCATTTAATCTCACAACAGACCCAGTATGACGGACACTTTGTGCCTGATGTGCGGGTCTTGACGGTGCTAGCGCCTACCGCGCCTTGAAGAGTATTCAGCATTGTTTGTCCTTTCTTCGGTTGTTGATCTTTGACGCCTGTTTCCATATCAAAATTTTTACAAACTTTGGGATTCATTTCATCAAACTGGAACTGTTCTTGGCATGATTTCGAATGAGACGTTTCTCTCTTTTCTACCATATTCTCCTGTTACTCTTTCGCATTCATCGCTTGCATTCACTTTTTATGTTTGTGACCATGCTCTTCAAAAATACATGAAAATGATGGAAAGGTGCAGTAATCACACTGTGTACCGCAGTACAGATAAGCCTGGACATTACCTTGAAAAAACGAGTACCGTTTCTGTTATAGAAGCGATCCCAATTTTTTCCAGCCTCACGTATCAGCTTATTCCGGTTAAATTGATCAATTAGGGAGTCCACTTGTTTGGAGAGTAAAGATTCGAGTTGATGTTGGTCTGGTTCAGTGGGCGTCGATTCCGGAGACAGAGGAGCTTCTGGCTTCGCGTCTAAAAGCAAAGGTGAGATGATTGGAAACGTATGCTTGAATATCGGTCCTTAAAAACTGCAATGCGCATGTACAACGACATGTAGATAAAGTCGACACAACCTGGTGCACAAGACTAGGTGCCATGTATTCCTTCGAAATGCAGAACTTCATTGTGAAACGTGATGCCACTAAGCGATTGCAGTTTGCACATGAAGCGCAATGTTAAGGTCTTCTGCACGCAGTCGCCTCTGTTAATTCACAATATACAGGAACGATCTAATTTGCACCGGCTCTTAAGGCAGACAAGACGAATACAAAAGTTGAACGTAAAAAGAACAGCTGCAGATACTTCTGACCTCTGTACAAAAGTCCCGCAACCTATTGTTCACTGCACATCACATAAGACCACTTACAGCCAAATACAAACAACTGTGGGTGTATACTGGGCACACTCAAATCTTTATTGGATACATGCAGATAAGAAAGACCACGAGATCCCTATTGACAATTGACTCTGAATGGCTCCCACAGGGCCTGATGGTATGTCGTACGCATTATATAAGTGAGTGGTAAAGCGGTACGCGAAGAATATCAGACATTTTCTGATCTTTGACAACCGATGTCTCAGAACTTTAGCCGGGTTCAGCTGAAACCAACGGATTTGCAATGACAGGTTTTGGTTGAGGTAGATAGTGCTTCACTCAAATACAGCTAGGCAATGTGTCACGAATGCCGTTGCCACCTGTCGATACCAGCGCTGATTCCCATGCCTAATCCGGAGTGGCGGAAGCATAGAGTGGATAATATTTGATGTCACAGGAAAGAATGGAGGATATTACGAAATATTTTGGTGCTGCTGGTGCTCCTTGTCTTCCAGAAAGGGTTCTACGTGACGTTCTCTGTATTTGGCTGGAGACACTAATGATATGACCTTACTGTCAGTGGTGGTCATGCTGCAAGTTTCTATCCAGGTTGTCTGACTGAATGTTGGAGGCGTAGGCACTTCGGATGTTTGTTTCCGGATAACCCTAGGTTCCTCTTTCCTCTGTATTCAAATAAATTGACTAGGCTGTACAGCAGTGAATGAATAATGACCTCATCTGATGTTACCTTTCACGAGGTTGATGTGAACAGAAGTGGCGTGATTCCAAGTCAAGCGTAAATAAATAAATAAATAAATTAAATAAATAAATAAATAAATAATAAATAATGAAATAAATAATAAAACAAAATAAAATAAGAATCTGCATTCACATCATTCTTGCTTGAACGATTCTTCTTCTTAGTGTAATTATTCTGGCAACCCAGTACCGAACAGAGAAAGAGTGGATTCCTGTTTCTCTCTTAGAGCTGTTCAGCGTTTCATATTATTGGCCGTATGGGATTCGAACCCCGGGCGATGATGTGCGAGTGGAGTGGTAGCACTACCCCACCAATGCACACTGGATGCACTTGAGTAACCACGTCAGAACAGGAGAACTTGATTAGGAAAAGATCCGCCCATTAGTGTTTAGGGAACAGACGTAAAATACAGGACGTGATTTAGGACCGGCGCAATGAGAAAAGAGTGCTACGGACAGGTTAGGCTGTCATGTGCGAAATCAAAGCATAAGAGGAATGGTGGAAATTGAAGTGAAAGCTTCCTACGTTTTATTCGGGTGTAACCAAGCTGCTTATTAGGTGAGTTCTTTACACAAGAGGCTTTTGTGCTCACGTGAGAACAAAACTCACCTTTAGCTGACAGATCCTGTACGGTAGAAGGTTCTAAGCCCTGGGCTTGTTCCTCGTCTGAAACGGAACTACAGGTGTGAAGCTTGAAGCTTAGTAACAAACTCTGAATATGTCTCCATGTCTCGATCTAACTCCGCGTAGATATCTGAGTAACTTTCTGCAAGCAAATAAGCAAAAAGCGATTAGATGAAGTGGTACATACGGGGAGTGGTCAACCCACGATCTGGCTTTGGTTTGTCCATAAACTGTGCCTGTGCCTCAAGCAGTTCTTTTGATGTGGAACAATGAGAATAGGCGTCCAACAACTGCTGATTGAGGGTAATGAAGCTGTGGCCCCATGAGAATTTGTCCAGTAGTTGGATCGCTTGAGCCGGCCGGTTGAGTATATATAGGCCGGCAGCAAGTGCCTCGGCACACGATAGTTGAAAAGGCTGTCCATATTTGACTGGGTTGGCAGCCACTAGGTAAGGCAGCAAACGTCCATGTCTATACTTCAACTGTCAAATACAGTTGGAGAATAACGAAATCGGTAAATTAGAAGGGGATGAACCTCGAAATAAGCAGTCACAGTTAGCTCAAGTTATGAAATTCGTCATGAAATCAAAGAGTGAAGTTTGGCGCTACGGTGGTTTTCAAGTCACTTTTTTATGCGGCGCAGCCAAAACTACGTGAGTTGATCATCACCAAAGATAGTAACGCTGATGACAATTACGATTCCACCACAACAGTGCACTTTTAGGTAATGATTCACCACATCACATCTAAACACCAATCTAGGAAGCCGGAGGACTATTTTCAACACATTCTCCAACCCAGTAAGATACTCTGTGGATGATAAACGAACACCCTCCAGCGTAGTCCAGCGGGATGGCGAAGTATAGAAGCTGGAACACCATGAAAAGTTCCGGCTTCCTTGCAAACCAGAGATATTCTACCCGGGACTCGACCAACCATTTGGCATATCAGCTGATTTGATGATTGAGCTAACTTACTACGTACAACTAACAACGGGTCCTGTAGTTGTATGGGTCAAAAAGTGAAAAAAAGCTAAGTATTACTTCTGTGTCGCGTACTTCATCTTTGTTGGATGTGCTGTGGTCGCACACAGTGAGATCAACATGGTCTGAAAATATTCCAAACTTATAGACAGTTAACTGATCCCAAAACCCTTCTCAAGGAAGAGCTGCAACGAGTTCCAAGGCATAAAACAGAGAAATACTATTAAGGGATAAAGCATCTATACTCCAATAATGACCCACCTTTTTGAACGCCGTGGTTTCCAGTTGAGCCCAGGAACAATCTACAACAGCCAGTCCGCAAGCGTACATTATATCACGGTCAGTGGAAGGAGATAATACACAAGTGGCTGTAGGTGTTAGAACGACTCCACCGAATCCTTCGTTCAGACGCAACAGATGTGTAATTCCCATCCGTACAAGCTTACGGCCTGAACAACGCCTTGGATCACACTGTTCAAAATCCCACAAGGCTGTGGAAACCAGCTGCTCAGATGATTCAGATTCCGAGCTTGAATCAATTTTATCACCATCTTAACGGGAAACGATTTTGATCGAATGAATATAAACGAACCACCTGAGTGGGAGTCTGAGTCCATGATGTCACGCTGAAGAGGTATAGTTGCATGCAGCCGAGCCTGCAGATTACGTCGACTTCGTTTAGGCCTCATCAAGTGACCATTTGGAACTAAAAAGCAAGCCAAAAAGAATGAATAAAGAAGCTTTATAAGGGGGCAGACAACAATCTCTTTAACTGGAATCAACCAATTTCGTGCTACAGTGGGTGAAAGATCGTTATTCTTCTGAGTTTTGTAAAGCTATTTCCCCGGCGTCAACAAACCCGGCGTACAAATAACTGGATACTGTACAACCAAGTGAATCTTAAAAGGCTGCACAGTATATCACAGCTGAAGACAGTCCATTGGTAGTTTGGTCAATGTTTAGTCCCACGTGGTTATGTTTAGCGGCTCATCATCATCATGTTTAGCGGCTAAAATGGCTATGTAATCAGATTCAATTGACCGTACAGGCCTGTGGCCACAAGCCGCGGGACCATCGTGCCATGATAAGACAACCGTCTGTGGCCTAATCAAGGTCCAGAATATGCGACCACCCTCGTTACATTTACGCCGTTATTCAGCCATCCATTTAAAATACAGTAGATCCGGGAAATATTATTCACACATCGAGTACCACGCTGTGGAATATCAAAATTAAAGATTCAATCTCGACCTGTCTTAACTTTGAGATTAGATACCCGATCTAAATGCGAATACAAGGAAGAATTCCGCTGAAATTACTGATAATTCATGTAGAAACAAACTAGGGCGAAGAAATTTTGAGTATAGCCAGTGTAGTCCTGGGACGGTTCCATACGACGGCAGTGATCGTTAGCTCGTGAAAATTGCCCTTCACTCAGGAAACGGTGAACATTACCTGGGAAACTCGGAAATTTTCCTATTAGGGTCCATCAAAGACAAGCAACAGCGGAAACAGATGACACCGAATGTGAGACTATACTTTTCTCATGCTCAGCGACTATAAACGGATTTGAATGTATAGCTACCGTTTTTATCAGGGACAGCAACAAAGAGTGTGCTGACATTTGATTCCTAATTCGCTAGTTACATTGGGCTCCATCGTTTGTCGGAGATGGTGTTGTTTTCCGTGCCCAATCAAGAGTGTTCCAAGCACACAGACGGCCAACCCTTGGAATGGTGCAAGGGTATAAAAGAAATTACTGAAAGTCTGGGTGCCATCGGTGTAAATTGTCTTTCAGGATATGGTCCAATCAGTCAATTTACCAGCTATAAACCATGTACCATAGGCACACTGGTTTTAGCTGCTACAGTTTCGACCACCGAAAAACGGGAGTGTAAGGCATACAGCCAAGCCTGGGAGGCGATCACATGTCCAGTTTGTTCAGAACCTGAGGAGCTACGCATTGGAGGCGATAGCTTTGATGCACGATCATGAAAAGAAAAAAGAAAGCGATCGGCTGTAGCACCCTTCCGGTGCCTAGCTGCCATGCCACCCGAAGGAAACACGAGGGCTGGGATATTGTCCGGTTGCCAAAGCCTAGACAGGGGAAGTCGAGAGGCGGAGGTCGGATTCAAACCACGAACCTTCTAACCGCTTGCGCCATCTCGCACGATCATTCACTGACTGCATGACTGGGTCATTTCTACCACTATATTGAACCATTGGTCAGCTGAGTTCCGATGTCCCAATCCAGGAGCCCGTCAGTTGTCAACCCGACTGAATTTACTGGTTCGTCTTTTCATATTTCGTTGCCAGGTCATACACTGTCCACCTTCGGTGGTTTGGGATGGGGGAAAGAGCTCTGTGAAGCAGACAGTCTGCTGACCGGTGCAGTACATGTCCCAACAAGCGCAACCTATGAAGCGTGAGTAACTCACTTATCACAGAAGAGTTCCTTCATCCTTCGATCATCTGGTGTACCTCACCATTGCTAATCCGATCTTCCCACCAGACGTGAACAATACTTCGGAGACACTGATGGTCAAACAGTGACATTTTTCGTATGTGTCCTCTGAGTTTAGGGACAACGTCCCTGATCCATAGAACGGTATGGATCGCATTGCCGCAGTGTAAACTTTGCGCTTGTCAGACAAACTAACGTCACGTCGGCGCAATAGGTGACTTGGGTTGACAGAAGCTGCCCTGGCCTTCCTGATTCGAGAAGTAATCTCATCTCCAGCCAGTCCACCGGCGCTTAATCAACTGTTTAGCTAAACAAATTTATATACCACGTCTATTGACCCGCCTACAAGTATGTTTGGATTTGATCCCAGTCAGTCTTGTAGCAGCACTTTACACTGAAGCTGTGAAGCGCACGCCAAACTGTCCGACAGGGTTACTTGGGTTGTTCAAAATGGTTTGCACTTGGGAAGGATCTGAACCAAGGAGAGCAATATGATCTGCATACTCAGTGCCAGTGAGCGAATGTCCCGGGAGCATTGCGACCCCAAGGCCACATTGGCAGGCAGAGAAATTTCAAACAGCATATCAATAACAAAGTTGGGGAGGAAAGGTGAGAGAGGGCAGCCTTGTGTTACACCACTGGATGTTGTGAACTCAGGCGAAAGCTTGCCCGATTCTCGTACGTGCTAACAGGAGCTCGCATACAGTGTCCTCGAAGGGACACAATTGATCGCCAGATACTGTCAAAGTTTCTGGCGATCGACAGTCAAAGGCAGCTTTCAAATCACGAAAAATGACCAACGTCTGAAGGATTAACGCTGTTCAAGAATCAGTCCCAACCAGAGCGAGACCCGGATTGATTCTCACGAATCTATCTCTCGATAATGCATCAACCTGCGCAAAACGATGCCAGAGAGCGAATAAGATGCGACGGATACCAGGCTGATTCCACAATAGTTTTTGCATGACGTTCTTGCTCCCTTTGTGAAAACTGGGATGATGGTCGAGGAGCTCCATTTGGCTGGAATTCTTTTTTCGTCCTAAACCTTCTGAGCTATGGTCGTCGGACTTTTCACCAGGACCTTACCCTTTTTTGAAGAGCGCGGTGGGCGGGAGTCAGACAAGCCGGGCCAGGTGCCTTGTTGGGCTTTCGGTTGCTGATGGCGGGTTGGTGTCAATGTTCCATTCGGATCCGCTTGGTTCTTCAGCTGCTGAGTTGAAGGAGACCAGATAAACTGTTCTTAGAAGTGCTCAGTCCACCGCTCAAGATAGTGTTTGAGAGTGTGCATTGCCACACCATCTTTTTCGTATATTGTTTCACTGGCACTTGTTTTCTACTGACCGGTTGATCGAATCAGTTGAAACAGAGCGCGGTTGTTTTCTGCAGCCTAAGCTTCCTAGATTAGATGATAGATGCGTTCAGCTCTAGCACCCTTCCGGTGCCTACCTGCCACGCCACCCGAAGGAAGCATGAAGGCTGGGATACTGCAGGGTTGCCCAAGCCCAGACAGGGGAAGTCGAGAGGCGGAGGTCGGATTCGAACCACGGACCTTCCGGTCAGTAAATTCGCGCTCTAACCACTTGGGCCATCGTATTCAATAATTGTACTAATCGTCCAGCTTTGGTCCCCTTTCGATGCCTGGCTGCGACGGCACCCGGAGGCAAAAAGAGCCGATATGTTGCCAGGCTGCCCAAACATAGACAGGAGTAGCCAAGACGCCAGGGTTAGATACGAAGCACAGAACGCTACGGACGGTACGTCCGCGCCTCAACCACGGGATTATATCGAGCTCCAAACCCACGCTTAAAGGCTGTATTTTTAATGAGCAGAACGGGCCGAAAAATCCGAAGACTGAAATTCGTATAGGGGTGCTGATGATGGAAACTCAGCAGCTGTATGCCGCAAAAGTTGGTTTCCAAGCTTACGATACACCTCACTTACAAATAAACAGTATCAGCCAGAAACAGCACAAAATCGGTACCGCTTAACCGCCCTGAAATACAACGAATATATCGACAAGCGACAGAGAAAATATAAGACACCAAGAACCCTCATCAAACTGAGTCCTTGGATACCATTTTTGTCGTTAAATAATTAAAACTGGCACGAACACTAGATGAGAACACGGGTGTTTCATCGTTTCAGCCATTTTGAATACGGATAATAATCGTTCAGTTGTAACTGCCCTACAGTGTCTGGCTGGTATGCCACCCGAAGGAAGCACGGCGGTTGAGATTAAGCCAGGTTGCCCAAGACTAGTCAGGAGCGATCGAAATGCAGATGGGTTGGAACGACGAATGATCCTCCCACCAAGTCATCTTGATCTCGCCAGTTCGAATACAGCCCTATAATGAAAAGAAAGGAGAACTGGTCACGAATGGGGTCTGGGGCTAATCTAATGCCTAACCCCCAAACACTAAGTCAAAATCTGGATAGAAATTAACAGCATGAACGCTACTATTATCGGTTAGCCGCCAGTGTTCAGTGCCTTCAGCCAAATACACTTCGATAACGGCAATGCCTCAGCTTTGATCTCGGCGTGATGTTCCCAAGGCAGCGTTTTAGGCAGATGAATAAACAAGGGGTAACCTACATGCATGAGACGCGCAAAAAACAGGCCAAAATCCAATATACAGCGCGCCCTATTCTGAGTGCATATAGTGGAAACATCCTGGAGCTTCGAAAGCCTCCTAACGCGGCTCTGGTTACCGTCGTCCGGCAGATACTGAAACACGAATGTCCCTCGGCCTACATCTTCGACCGACGGTACGTTCGAAATCGGTTTCGTTTTTCCCTCGTGCGAATTCGTGAAATTTTTTTTCGTTGTTCAATCTATTCACAGAGTACACACGAGTAATTGTTGAATTTTATTACTCTAACAAAACATTTGAGTGATAACCCTTTATATTTTGCGCACACCTATTTTACATCTAGTCCGAAACATGACGTCAATCCATACCGATCGCCCTCCGCAGCCATTGGTA